GGCCTGGCGCAGCCCGTACGGGCCGCACGCCGGCTGTACGGGCCGCGCGCAGGCCACGACGGGCGACGGGGGGCGACGCGCGGGTCCCCGTCGCCCGTCGCAGCGCCTCCCGGGGGCGACGCGCCGAGTGACGGGGCAGAAACCCGCCGCGCGCCTCGGGGCACACGGCGGGCAGAGAACCGCCGCGCGCCTCGGGGCGCACGGCGGGCAGAGAACCGCCGCGCGCCTCGGGGCGCACGGCGGGCTGAAAACCCTAAGTCAACGCCGCGCACCACGGGGCGCGCGGCGGACAGGGAGTAGCAGTAGCAGCGGAAGCAGTGAAGTGGGGCCCACAGGCCAGGAGCATGTAGCTCTGATAATATGTGAGAACAGGAGGTAGTCTTAGGAGCCTAAGCTAGGAAAGCCCTAGCTAGGCAAACGATAGTTTAGGTGAAAGAAGGAGAGGGGTTGCACTAGAAAGAATGGGGATACAAATAGCAAACCCTAGAAGGGTTGTACTCGCTATAGAGCACCCCACTACAGGCTAGAGCATAATATTCTGACACATGTCGACTCCAGTGAGGTAGCAGCGCCACACTTTGAGTGCATGCACAATTGCCAGCATCACGCGGTCGTGTGTCGGATAGTTGCGTTCGGGCGGGTGAAGCTTGCGGGACTCGTACGCGATTGGCTGAAGGCCGTTCCCGAAGTCCTGCAACAGTACTTCTCCCACGGCAATGTCGCTTGCGTCCGTGACCAGTTTGAACGGGCGGTGTGGGTCAGCGATGTGCAGTACGGGCGGCGAGCACAATCTTTTCTTGAGGGCCGAGAAGGCAGCTTGCTCTTTCTCCCCCCACGTGTACTCAACCCCATTTCTCAGCAGATCTGTGAGCGGGGCGGTCAGCCTCTCCATGAACTGGCACATGTAGTTGACGAACCCCAAAAAACTCTTCAGCTCGGTCAGATTTGTCGGCGCGTGCCATGCTTGAATCGTCGCGATCTTCTTCGGGTCTATTTCCACTCCATCGGTTGAAATAATGTGCCCTAAGAACTCTAGTCTGTCCTGTAGAAACTCACACTTAGAGGCTTTGGTCAGTAGGCGATTCTCACTCAGTATTTGAAAAATTGCTTCAATATCCAGTAGGTTGCTCGGTCTGGGCTGTAAATCAGTATATCGTCTAAGTAGACCATCACGCACTTATTTAAAAGCGGGCGGAATGCCTCGTTCATGGTCATTCGAAAAGTGGCGGGGGCGTTGGTCAGTCCGAAGGGCATTACCGTGTATTCGAATGATCCGTAGCATGTTCGGAAAGCTGTTTTCGGGTTGTCGGGCGGATTGATGCAGATCTGATGGTAACCTTTTCGAAGGTTAATTTTCGAGAAAACCCGGGCTGTGCGCAGTTGGTCGATCAGTTCGTCGGCTTGCGAGATGGGGTAACAGGACTTGATGGAAGCTCGGTTCAGTACGTGGTAATCTATGCACATGCGAAATCCCCCGTCTTTCTTCGGTGTGAACACTATCGTTGCTGCTAACTGTTTCTGCAGTTCGTCCAGTTCGGGTTGGGTCAGTCGGAACTGTCGCTGTACTGTCGACTGTGCCCCCGGTTCCAACTCTATCCGGTGGTCGTGCGGTTGCTGGGGTAGCAGTCATGTTGGCAGATCGTCCAGGAAAATCCCACTGTACTGCTTCAGTAATGCTGCCTGGTCACCCGTTACGTCGGTAAGCAGTTTCTATGAATCACCCCCCTCGTCTGCTGCCTCGGATTCCCGGATGTCAACCGCATACACGTCAGGTCCTACCGCTACGGCGCGTTTCATCGTGATCGCGTTGACACGCACCGACGAAGACTCAGGCGAGCTCCAGCAAGGTAGGGCGATGTTGTTACCGTTCACTCGCACGGTGCAGTCACACGTCGTCCAGTCAATTCGCAGATTGTGTCGTCGCGGCTAGTTACGACCGAGTAAAATGTCAGTCCCTTCGAGGGTCGATGCAAGCATTTCCAAGGTAAACATGAAGCTACCCTCGCGTCGAATCCAAACTCGGTCCACGCGTTCCCGTATCGCCAGTGGCGTCTCGTCGACCAGTCTTGCGTCAATCTCAGATAAACACCCGTCCAGTAGCAGTTTCAGTTTCCGTGCTGTGGCGGTGTTAAACAGGTTGTGGCTAGCTCCCCCGTCCACGAAGATTTTAGCTAAGTCTGTCCCAGCCTTCCCACTAAGCAGTATGGGGCTGTCTACCGTTGTACCCTCCTTATTCGGCCGGGTGTGCTCGATTACGTGAACCGGCACAATCACTCGGTGAGGGTCGGTTGGGTCGGGCGAGCGGCGTGACCAGTAAGTAGAGGGCCCGTCTGCTACTGGCTCCCAGCGTTTCCCTGCTACTTGGCTTCTTTCTACTGCTCAGCTTCCCCCTTTCCCTTAGCATTTTCCGGACATTCGCTTTTGTGGTGTCCCGGCCTGTTGCACGCGAAGCAGCGCCCTTTAAATGGTGCGGCAGCGGCGTCCGCGGCGACAGCGCGTATCGTGGCGTGTTCGTTCAACTCACGAGGCTGATGTCCCCAGCTGCTGCTGTTGCTATAGGACCCCGGTCTCGGTCGGCATAGAAAGTCGAGTTTCTCTGCCATAGCGAGGATCTCGTGAAATTCAGTGATGTTGCGGAGCTAGATTTCTTGGGCGATTTCATGCTTCAGGCCGCCGATGTAGCGGTCGATGCGCTCTCCCTCGTGCATGTAGCCCACCTGCTCACACATTGCCAGAAACCTGCTGGTATAGTCCTGGACGGAACCGAGCTAACGCCAAGTGCGGAGCTTCTGACGCGCCACGATCGAAGCCGCGATTGGCTCAAATCTCGCGTGCACCACGCATCCCACGTGCGATACTTGGGCACTTCCGCGAAATGCGACGGCGCCCAGGGTCCGGTTTGTCCTTCCCGTATCGTAGAGTCTCGCAGTCCACCGGCTTCGTGACGATGACGCGCCACCAGTCCATGGCGGGTCCTCGCAGCAGCGACACGACATAATGAATCTTCGTCGAGTCCTCCGAGACGTAATTCGCGTCGAAAAAGACGTTCATCGTGAATAACCACGCCTAAACGGTAGGACCACCCTACTGGCTGGGATCGGAGCAAGGCGGATGCTGCGGCTTGAGCGGCATCGGCGACGGCAGTGCTGACTCGCCGGTCGGCACCGAAATCGTGACGCGCGGTTGGCTTCTGGCCGCATTCGTCGCTCTAGGGTGTGTCACGCCATGGTCGTCGCCTCTGTCGTTGCGGTCGCGCCATCACTAGCCGCGCTCAAGTGTTGCCTCGCGCTTCTGTGTTGCGAAGCTTGACATGCTGCTTGTCCTTGTGTGCCTTGTGCTTGTGATTGTGCTTGTTGCGCCCGTGCGACGTCGTTTTGCAGTGATGTATGCTCTGCCGTCAGTGCCGCAATTTCTTCAGTGCTTTCGTGCAACTGCTGCAGCAGTTGGTTCAGGCGCTCCTGCTTGAGGTGCTAAGGGGCGTGAGTCCCTTGAAGTGCAAAATTCAAAAGTTGATTTCTCTGGGTGCGGAGATGTGCGGTCCGAAGGGAAGGTGGCTCAGATAACCAAGTGTTACGGGTGCAATGGAACGAGATAGCGAGGATTGCACTAGGTGTCAAACGAGTACAAAGTATGAGCGAAGGCATGAGCGAATACTTATACGCGAAACATGCAAACGGTAACGCGGGGCGTGCAAGCTAGCTAGTGCTAGGCTGGCATCGAGGTTCGGGCTAGTCCCGAAGCGTAGGCCGACTCGGCCGGGCAAGCGGTGCAAGGATTGGTGAAACAGTGCGCGCGAAGTTGGCGAAGCCCTGTTAGCAGTAACGGGCGAACAAACGGTTGTTGCTATACGCGATGTTGAACGGCGCAGTAAGGAATGCCGAAAAATTCCTTACAAATTTCGACTAGAGCAACTTCTCTCCTTGACATGGTCGATGTCACGCCACTGGCTTTTCGAGAACACGTAGACCGAGTTCGAGTTTGTTGTGTGAGTGACTTCACTTTTACCTAGGAAATGCTGGCGGAGACACTCGATGGGACTGACGTTTTACTCGGACGTTATTGGCTGCGACGACACAACTCATGGATAGACTGAACGACAGTAGATTGCAGCGTATGGGTCAAGGTAACAACATCACCCTACCTTGTAGGAGTTCGCCTGAGCCTTCGTCAGTTCAAGTCCATGCCATCATGATGAAACGCGATGTATTGGCCGAAGCTAACATATTTGCGGTTGATGTGCGATGTATGAAAAATGCGTGCCTTCTGCTGCTGGGATGGCCATGGTTGTGTGTGCCTGCATAGATGTACATTGAACATGATGTTGAAAAAAGCGGGGTGGTTTTATGCACCTTGTGGCTGACACAATGTCAAGCAAGTAGCTACGGAGAAGGATGTGGGTTGGGATGGAATGTAGGAGGGTGATAGCAAAAACTGTTGAGAAGAAAACCAGTTGGGACACGTTGAGAAGCTGATTTGACAGCACTAGGGTGAGGAAGGTGGTGGCAAGGCAGAGAGGTTGCTAGGCAGCGAGGCAGGCAAGGAAGTTAAGTGTGAGGGTGTGAAAGGGTTTAGGCAAGACTGCGGGGTGTGTTACTATGGGTGGTATGCAAGGAGGAGAGGTACAAAAGGCATGGATATGTGCAAGACAGAGAGATACGCAAGGTGTAATAACACGCAAGGATTTGAGGTATGCAAGCCAGCGATCGAGCACCAGACATTAGATAGACAAGGGTGAGGGTTCTTCAAGAATTAGAGGTAGAGAGAGATTTGCAGGCATGACACAAAATAAGACAAGGCTGCAGTATTTGCAAGCACAAGAGGTGAGGGGTGATGAGAGGAAAGCAAAGCAAATATTTAGCCAAGCAAGAGGACGGCAGAGGTAGAAAGGCAAGGCTTGGATGAGCACATCATTGGCAAGATTGGAGGGTAGACAAAGATTAGACGTATGTAAGTATGTAGGAAGAGATGCTTGGAAGGCATAGATGTGTGCAGTATGGCGTATGTTTATAAGGCGCATATGTATGATTAGATTAGAGGTAAGCAAGGCAGAGGTGTTAAACAGCAGGGAGGTAAGCAAGGGAGAGGCATTAAACAGCAGGGAGGTAAGCAAGGCAGAGGCGTTAAGCAGCAGGGAGGTAAGCAAGGCAGAGGCGTTAAACAGCAGGGAGGCAAGCAAGGCGGAGGCGTTAAACAGCAGGGAGGCAAGCAAGGCAGAGGCGTTAAACACCAGGGAGGTAAGCAAGGCAGAGGCGTTAAACAGCAGGGAGGTAGGCAAGGCAGAGGCGTTAAACAGCAGGGAGGTAAGCAAGGCAGAGGCGTTAAACAGCAGGGAGGTAAGCAAGGCAGAGGCGTTAAACAGCAGGGAGGTAAGCAAGGTAGAGGCGTTAAACAGCAGGAAGGTAAGCAAGGCAGAGGCGTTAAACAGCAGGGAGGTAAGCAAGGTAGAGGCGTTAAACAGCAGGAAGGTAAGCAGGGCAGAGGCATTCACAACAAGGAATCTGTGAAGTGCTTGGTTCTGTTGTGTTTCTAGGCATGTCATTGTACGAACAACCTACTCTTTTCCTTTTGCATCGCTGTCTCTAGGCCATTGTCGGACTCTTCTTGATCCCACACATCAAGTCAACACTCGTGGTGCTTCATGATTTGCACGTCCACGTTCCTTTTGTTCGAGCAGCGGTAGATTTGCTTCAGCAATTTTCTATGCAAGTGTTCAAGACCACCTTTATAGCCGTCTGGTTCATCGCACATTCACACAGGAAACGCGGGTCTTCTGGGTGCTGCTAGGTGAGTTGTATGAAGGTGCTGTCCAAACACTCATGCTCAATGCATGGCTCCAGACGAAATTCGTGTCCCTGACATGGTTGAAAGCAACTTGTGGGCGGCTGAAACGTTGGCTGGAGGGATATGACAGCGGAAACTCTTGAAGTTTCGTGGTCTGCACCACATCCGACGAGAGTGATTCCTTTCAGTAGTTCAGCATAGCAGCTACTTTTGCGATGGCACGCTTAACCTCTGCTTTCCTGTTATATGGCACAAAGAGCATTAGCGAAAACTTCTTAAGCACATTAACACTGATCACAGAAACCAGATCCAGATGTTCGTCGGAGTTGTTACTCAGGTAACTGTCATCTTCATCATCTAGTTCTAGTTCAGATACATCGTCGTCCCTATCAGTCTGTCATCAGCATCAACAACATTGTCTACGCCCACTAATTTTCCCCGCAACACCTTGTCACTCTTCTCTACGTCATCCTCAGCACTTTCACAATCTCATCCGCTTTTATCCCAGACACCCCCACTCTTGCATCGCATAGGTTCATGGACCCGGGGTACTCCCAGGGTAAAACCTGCGGAGTCGGGTTATTCACCCAATTTTTCTCGCGACTGATGCACTCTGGCCACCGCTCAAACACCCCAAACATCGCGCTGGTGCCACAACTAGCTTCCAGGAACCTTCCAGGCCTCAGCTTCTTGCCTCCGCAATCGCTTCTCTAGCCTCTCCCCTTTCTTCCGCTCTGCTTTGCTCACTCGCTCCTTGGCTGCTGCCGTTCCTCTACTTCCCAGACTAAGACAATCCAAGCCCAGGTGAAGGAAAGCCTCAGATACAGCCTCCCCCAGGTCCTCCCTGCTCTGGGTAATCCGTATCCCTCCCAGAACCTCCTAATGTCATAACATTGTGCTGTGTAGGTTGTAATAATGGGGTAGCCAATATGGGGTACAACCCAATTAGGGTTAGTACTTGTACCAACTTTCTCATCAATGCATTCATTCCTGCTGCTAGATTCTGACATGGTATCAGAGCAAGTCCTATTCCAGGACCGCCTTCATTAGGGCCCACCCGATCGTTCCTGCCCGTAGCGCTGCCCCACTCGTTGCACTACCTTGCCCTGCCCTGCCCTGCGTCGCGCCACCCGCGCACGCCTTGCCTGCGTCGCGCTGCCCGCGCGCACCCTGCCCGGTTTCGCGCCGCCTCGCGCACGCCCTGCCTGCGTCGCGCCCCACCCGCGTGCGCCCTGCCCTGCCCGTCACGCGACCCGTGCACGCCCTGCCCTGCCCACGCGCCGCGCGTACGCCCTGCCCTGCCCGTTGCGCGGCCCGTGCACGACCTGCCCTGCCCGCGCGCCGCGCGTACGCCCTGCCCTGCCCGCCGTGCGACCCGTGCACGCCCTGCCCTGCCCGCGCGCCGTGCGTATGCCCTGCCCTGCCCGTCGCGCGGCCCCTGCACGCCCTGCCCTGCCCGCGCGCCGCGCGTACGCCCTGCCCTGCCCGTCGTGCGACCCGCACACGCCCTGCCTTGCCTACGCGCCGCGCGTACGCCCTGCCCTGCCCGTCACGCAACCCACGCGCCGCCCTGCTGACCGCGCGCTGCCCTGCAGCTCGTGCACCGCCCCTGGCAGCCCGCGCGCCGCCCTAGCGGCCCGCGCGTTGCCCTTTACGGCCCGCGCGCTGCCTTTGCCTGCCCGCGCGCCCTCCCTTGCCTACGCGCTGCCCTACTTGCAGCGCGCCGCCCTGATCTGACCGTGTGCTGCCCCGCCCTACCCTACGCGCTAACCCTAGTGCCTGCTCGCCGCCCTCCCTTCCCTACGTACTGCCCTGCTGGTCACACGCCTCCTTGCTTTGCCCTCTATGACTTCTCTTGGTGGTAGCGGTGGGAGTGGTGGCGACGGTGGTGGCAACAGTGGGAGTGGTGGCGGCGGCCGTAGTGGCAGTCGCGGTGGCGCTATTCAGTGGGGAGTTTCTGGCGATGGCCAGATGCAGCTGCGGCGGCTTCCGCGCGTGACTCTTACGAGACAGGAGCTCCGTGAGTGGTACGCTCAGCCTTGTGCATCTCAGAGTACTGCTCGCTGCTCGTTCGTCATTCGCACAGGTGCTTGGGCAGGTCAGACTTGCGGGACACCTGGCCACACACAGTTCCACTGCTTCGCCTGTCTGAGCGACTCCTGGCGCGCAGTGTTTGCCGACGAGGCTGAGCTCCCTTGCTGGCTAGAGCTGCTTCGGGACAAAGCGGACATATTTGCTCTAGACTATGACGCTATCCTTACTGCCATGTATGCTTTGACTGCTGGTACTGAGGGTGACTGTTACCTGTGTGTGCCGCCCGACCCTGGTATAGAGGCTGCTGCTCTAGGTGCTAGTGAGTCTGCTCTCTCTGGTACTGTGCCTGCTGAGGCCTTGCACACCTTCACGCTTGACTCAGGTGCTTCTCGCTGCTTCTTTCGCGACAATACCAGAGTCACACCACTCCCTAGACCTGTTGCAGTCTCACTGGCTGACCCCTCTGCGGGACCAGTTCTTGCACGTTCCTCCACTGTTCTCCCGTGTCCGGCGGTTCCGTCCGGCTCACTGTCAGGTCTCCACGTCACCAGTGACCTCGATAGGCTTAGTTGAGGGAAGTGGGTCTACCTGCGAGACACCTGAAGGAGCAGGACCCTGAGGGGGGAGGGGGTCTACCGGAGGGGGACCTGGAGCGAGGAAGAGCGGCGGAGGGGGGAGAGGGGCAGAGCGGTAGGGGAAGAGACGGTAGAAGGGAACCAACTTGTCAAAAGTGACGTCCTGAGAGGGCAGGACACGGCGCAAGGTGGGGTGGTAAAACTGCCAGCCAGGCGCGTCAGGAGGGAAGCCAAGGAAGACACAGGGAATGGTGCGGGAGGAGAGCTTGTCCGCGGAGGTATCGCGGACAAAGGCACGAGAGCCCCAGACCCGAAACTCCGACGCATCGCCAACCTCCCTCGTCCAAAGCAGTGTAGGCGAGGTCTCCGGCAAGGAGACACGGGGCCAGAGGTTGAGCTGATGCGCAGCGTACCAGACCGCAAACGACCACAGAAAATGGGGAGCAGCCGCATGGATCATGGAGGTACGAGCCACCTCCATGACTAAGCCAGTGCGGTGCTCTGCAATCCCATTCTGCTGCGGGGAGGCCAGAAGCGTGAACGACTGGAGGATGCCCTCCCCACGACAAAAGTCCCGCAAGAGGTTGGAGGAGAACTCACCTCCTGTGTCTGAGTGCAGACGCAGGACGGGAAGGTCCGTGCGGAACCGCTCGCGGAGCTGGAGATGAACAGCGCGGATCCAAGGGATCAAGACAGCAGGGACCTCATCCTTGCTGCGCAAGGGGAAGACCGTGGTGTAACGTGAGTAGTCGTCAACAACCAGCAGAAAGTACCGCTCGCGGCCCTGTCCAGTGACGCGGGCTGGGCCCCACACGTCCATGTGGAGAGTCTGCAGGGGAGCAGTCGTCGGGGGAAACGAAGAGGAGTGAGGAGCGGTGGAAGAGACGTGGGAGGACTAGAGACAAGGAGGCGGGAGTGCATGCCACGAAGGCGTGGCAGGGAGGGGTGACCAAGGCGGTGGTGCCAGAGGAGAGTCTGGTGCGACAGGAGGCGACACGAGCACGAGGTGGCTACCTGACCTGACGCGGACACCCGACGGGTGAACGTGGCCAGGTGACGGCCAGTCCGGGAGCACGTGCAGATCGCCACACGCTGGCCTCCAGTGGTAAAAGCATCGACCCCTGCATCCTGAAGGACCGCGTTACTCACCACGTCGAGAACGAGCTGCTGGGGGTGGTGCTGCTCGAGGTACTGCGTCTGGGGGTGGTGAGCTTGAGCGTGCGGAGCCTGGGGGTGCTGAGCCTGAGCGTGCGGAGCCTGGGGGTGCTGAGCCTGAGCGTGCGGAGCCTGGGGGTGCTGAGCCTGTGCGTGCGGAGCCTGGGGGTGCTGCGCCTGGGGGTGCTGCGTCTGGGGGTGCTGAGCCTGGGGGTACTGAGCGTGGGGGTGCTGCGTCTGCTAGTAGTCCTCCGGGTACCTTGCCGCAGCGGTCTAGCCAGCGAGAGCCTCTCTCGCCCTAGCAACTGCGCGAGTGGTTTGCTCGGCGCACCCGCCTTCGGAGTCGCGCTACTGGAGCTGGAGGCACAGGAGCTGCAGGCACGGGCGCTGGAGGCACTGGAGCTGGAGGCACTGGCGCTGGAGGCACTGGAGCTGGAGGCGCTGGAGCTGGAGGCGCTGGAGCTGGAGGTGCTGGCGCTGGAGGCACTGGAGCTGGAGACGCTGGAGCTGGAGGCGCTGGAGCTGGAGGTGCTGGCGCTGGAGGCACTAGAGCTAGAGGCACTGGACCTGGAGACGCTGGAGCTGGAGACGCTAGCACTGGATGTGCTGCCGCTGGAGGCACTAGAGCTGGAGGCGCTGGAGCTGGAGGTGCTGGCGCTGGAGGCACTGGGACTGGAGACGCTGGCGCTGGAGGCGCTGGAGCTGGTGGCGCTGGAGCTGGAGCTGGTGGCGCTGGAGCTGGAGGTGGTGGGGCTGGAGACCCTAGAGCTGGGGGCGCTTTTGCTGTGGGCACTATGCAGCAGCGCCCGTTTTTCTTTTCGCCGCCGCAGCTGTCCGACCTACCGGTGCTCTGTCAGGTTCTTAGTCTTCCTTCGTCCACTGCCCTTCCTCCGGACTCACCGCTGCCTGCCCCGCCTCGTTACACTGAGCAGCCAGCCTCCCTTACAGAGCGTCGTGAA